ATTATGACTGAGATCCAATGGGGGGATACTTTTGTCGGGTACTGTAATAAACATACGTTTTTTTGCTAGAAGTAATTCGATCCGTTGTGAAGGCGATGTTGTCATATCATAAGCTTGATCATATAATCTCAAGGCGTCTGTGTATTTACCATCGTCTCGTTCGATGTGTGCTTGTAGAATAACTATTTCTAATGAACTATTTTTTTTTTTCATCTTTCCAAAACATTTTCGAGCTTCAGCATAGGCATATTGTTCATGTAATGCTTTGGCCAAATCGTACAAATCGCTGTCACTTACAGGTATTGCTGTTTCAGTATATTGATTTAATAAAGCTATTGATTTTTGTAATTTTTGTTGTTGTTTATCAGCTAATTTTGCTGTTGAATATGGACATAATTGTTTATGGTTTTCTAGATCACATGGTGGTACTTTAGCTGAACAACCTGCTAATACATATGGACAATCAAGTTCAATATTGTCGACAATACGTTGTAACACAACATTTTTCAGGAGTGTATTTTCAGTAAGAGATGTTGACTTACATTGTGGACAACTTCCACCTTGATTAAGCCATCGTTGTATGCAAGTAAAACAGAAAAGTTGATGGCAGCATGAAGTTTCACGAACTTCCGTTAAATAATCATGACATATACCACATTCGAATGATTGTTCTATACTATTTTGTGTTGCTGTCATTGTTTTGTTCGTAGATATATGAATAAGAATAGAAAAAGAAAGAATTAACATTTCTGAATTATTATTTATACTTTTTTGTTACGTAATTTTTTTTTCATTTCTGTGTAACAAAAAATCGAAAAAGAAAAAACTCATTCGTCGATATGTCTTTCTCCATTTTATTGATTATGCCTGCAATAATAAGTAAATAATGATTCAACGATTGCTGCTATTCAATCGTATGGAAAATTCTCGAAGTTTCGAAAACATTGTATATATTGTATTTTCGCACTATACCATCGCGTCTCATGTACTGGATTTTTCCAGTATATGTGGGTGGCGATAAAGATAAGGTGGGTGTGATTATAATTCAAATCGAAATAGTAAAACTAAAAAAAGTCCTTGAATGAATCATCTGATGTCATCTCACTTGTCCATAGAATCTTTGTATTTAAGGGTTCCTCTTAGAAAACGCATTTTGTTCGAAAAAAAAACGAGAAGCGAGCGTGTGTTGAGGGAAGGATGAGAGGGAAATAAAGAAAAAATATGAATTGCCAATTAGATTTAAACAAATAAGAAGAACTGCTAGTTGAATGATTCGATAAAATAAGTTTTTTTTATTTTAATTTGTGCTTGGTTTTTAGTAGTAGTTGATTAATTATTAAGAAATAAATGAAATAGAGTAAGCTGAGAAAGAAATTCAAGGAAAGTGAGCTAATTGAAATTGAGTTAAGAAAAATTAAAGAAGCTATTACTTTTTTGGGTGTTTTTTGAGAAAGGAAATTTTGACTTTTTTCGGTTAGTTGTTTACGAGCCAAAGAGATTTGACTTTTGAGGCAAAAAGGATAGATAAACGGTTAAACAAGAAAACTGAACGAGTGTCAAATCAAAAGTTTTTATATGATTTCATTCCGAACATTCTGTATTTTTCTTATGTCCAGAGTTCGGACTGAAAATAAGACGAAAACCAATTCCTCTCCAGCAATTCGAGGTGTATCAGAAAGTTTATTGAGTTCAAACTAAACCTTGCAGCTAAATCGATGTGTTCACTTAACACTTTCGTGTCGGATTGTTTTAGTGAAAAACTTGTCTGTACTGAATAGAAAAAAGTTCTTCTTAGTAGTTGGTACAAAGCCTGCAGCTCTATAAGTTAAAGTGCTGTTTTCTATCCCCGAACGTTGTAGAGACTAATGAGCTCCATTGTGTTTCATATAATTATTATTAGAAATGTTTCAATACATTCTTGATCTCAAAACAGAGCAGTACGCATAAGGCAACATTGCATTCGCTGAACTCATAGCTTGTTTCTATTTCCTGCTTTTAATTGCGAATCGACTGACTGCAGATGAAGAATGGTTTTAGCTCTTGATGAAGCCTTTCCGTTTTAATAAAAAGTACTGTGACGCCGTGCGCATTGACGTTCCTATTGATTATCCTCACAATAGTCCGATTTTTGAATGCTAGACTCTTCTACCAGCCCTTAATTTAGTTTCAGTCTAAAGTCGGAAACAGCCATATATTCTTTGAGCGTTAGTTTATATAGCACATACACATTAGATACTAAGAGAATGTAAGTGGAACACTCAACTCTGAATGAGATTCGATAGTTTCCTTAGAAACGAAATGTCACCGTCCCATATATGGAACACCCGGAGTGAAAGGGTTAACAATAAGTCACTATTTTGTATACGAAAGGCTTTATTTAATAAATGATAAATAAATGTTTCTCTTGTATACCACCATAATGTTCGATTAGATGGACAATCATTTTCAAATTTACCTATAAGATTTAACTCATTTTTACGATTTGATATTGATTTAATCTGTAAAAGATAATCATTTAATAATTGTGAATAAATAAAATTATCATTCAATTCATTATTTTTACAAAAAAATTTTATTGATAATGGTTCATTTATCTTTATTTGACTAGATTGTTCTTGATAAGAACGTATTTGTGATATTAATTCATCGAATTTAACAATAAAACTTTTAATTTTTGGATATTGTTTAATCCATCGCTTATTTCTTATTTTATCAGAACTATAAATATATATATTGAATAAACTTGTCGTAAATGATGTACATTTGAAATAAATTTTTTTCTTAGACAATCATTAATAATTAATACAAAACGATCATTTGGTAATGATTCAATATATTGCATACATTTATCATTATTTTAAAATATTTTTAAATTATTAATAAATATTCATAAACGTTCTTGTATTTCAATACATTCACCTGAATCATTAATTATAG